ATCCACCTTCCTCTCCTCCCCTGGGCGCGACAATACATCTCCCAGTCAGGGGCTAATCTTTTTCCCTCTCAGCTTCTTCTAGCTACTATGATCATAATGGCCACATCCGGACTAACTCGGCCGCCTTCCCCCATCAGGCTCATGGGCATGCTAGCTACTATGGCGGGGGCGCCCCGACACCGTCTCACTCTCTTGGACTGTACTACGCACCTACCCGTGGCCCCGAGTACCTCGGCCACCACGCCGCGGCCGGCGGCTTCGACACTCGCAAGCGCGCCTACGACATGGTCGATGACTTCTTCGGCAATGCCAAGCGCCGCCACATGGACCCTTCGTCGTACGCCTCGGTCGGTCGTTCTCTGATGCCCCTCCACGGCGCTCTTGCGCTCCAGACCGGTGCTCCCATGCCCGCTGCCGAGCACATGGCGTATCCCCAGCACCCCGGCCACGGCGTTGGTGTGAGCGCCGGTCCCAGCGGCCCCGGGCCTCTCGCCCAGCAGTACTACCTGCCGCCCATGCCCAACGCCCGCACCAAGAACGACCTCGTCCAGATCGACCAGATCCTCGAGCAGATGCAGAGCACCGTCTACGAGAACGCCAACCAGGCCACCCCGGCATCCATGTCCACGGCCAAAACACCTACGAGTACCGCCACAGCCCCTCGCCTCCCGGCATGGGCCATCGCGGCAGCCACGGCGCCATCCCCGTCTCCCAGGACGGCTACGCCGCTGCCTCGGCCGCTCACATGGCCTCCCCCCTGACCGCCATCTCGTCCACCGGAACCCCCGCCGTGACCCCTCCTTCCAGCAACATGTCCTACACCTCCGGACAGTCTCCGAGCCCTTCCTCCTCCGGCATGTCTCCGCAATCTCGCCACAGCACCACCTCCTCTGTCATGTACCCCAACCTGCCCGCCGTCAGCTCTGTCTTCCCCGGCCAGTCCACCACCTCGACTCTGGGAACCAACTTTGACAACAACGAGCGCCGCAACTACGGCGGCGGCATGCTCCAGCGTGCCAACCCTGCCCCGGAAGCCCGTCGTCGCTCCGACACCCCCACTGCCATCCAGATCAAGTCTGAAAGCACCCCGACCCCCTCAGTCGGCTCCCCCTCGTCCGAGTCGGAGATGAGCGACGGCGCCCGCGAGCGCGAGGAGAAGTACGACCAGTGGCTCGAGAACATGCGCACCATTGAGGCTCTGCGCGAATACATTCGCGACCGTATCGCCCGCAAGGACTTTTGACGAGAAGTCCGAGGGCCGCGAGAGCTCCCCTGATGCCATGGATGTCGACTCGCGCAGGACAACACCCGCGCCCACGTCGGCCGTGTCCCCGGCACCAGCGGCTCCTCTGTACCCTGTCCTCCGCATGTCCAACTAGAGTCTTTGACGTCGGCCGATCGAGGCGGTGAAAACTGGAAGTGTACATTATCCATGCCTCCATGAGCGGTGGTTTTGCATGCGCTGGGATTGTTTGGCCATGTTCGCGGTGTTTTAGTGGTACGTACCTGACATGGGCGGGATTCCACGTCGTTTTTCCGACCAGTTGATTTCTTTTCTGGGGGCTGGTTTCCTTGCACTTTTATCTTGACATGAGCGCCCCTCCTTTCTTGGGGGCCTATTGCGTTTCCTCTTGCTGCTTTTTTTCAGGGGGGCGGGCCTTGATGAAACTCAGGCAGGGCACGTAACGAGTTGATGACTACAAAATTGACTGCCTTGTCGCAGGCAGAGCTACTCGGGATGAAACATGTATATAAAAGTAGCGAATCTGTCATCAAGGGTCGGAGAAAATACATGTTTCCTCAACATCTCACCATCAAATTGGTGTCCTTCCTGTCTTGCCATGTGAGTCATGTCACGACAGACTTGTGCCTCAATCTTGGTGATCTTGTCCACAGACGCCGCGGCCCGTCCCGTATGCCGAGAGGATCAACCCTTTCTGGCAGTGCCACTTGTTCTGAGTGTTGGAGTTGTCCTGCGGCATGGGTCAAGATGGGTTTGCCAGAGCTGGGGAGCGGGCCACCATCAAGTCCTTCCTCAAGCGTATTGGTCTCGACGCTCCATCTTGGTCGATGCTTTCCGCTGCCCGTTGCGTCCCCGCTTCACCAGGTCCAGCCACACTATCATGTAACCTGTCCAGGCCGCTGCCATCCCATGCACTCGCCGTCAGAGGAACCTCCAGCTCCAGCGCGCCTCCGCGTCCGTGTCTTCGATGCAGCCCAGCCTGAGGTGTCCCTGCGAAGAACAAGCCTTCATCCATTTCCCCCTCGCGAACAACCGTCTGCTGTACTAGCCCCTGACACATGTTGCTGCCTCCCTCATTCCCACCTTCGCCCGCGCCGCCCTGCCTACCATGGACTTCCCTCCTGTTGCCACCCTAACGTCCCAGGCCGCTCGTCTCCTACACAGATGGAGCGGGCATGTCCCCATCGCGACGGCCAGAACACTGCTTGCTCCGATGGGCTCAGGCTCTATCGCACGGGACGGTGGTGGGCGCTATACCACGTACGCGGCCAGATATCCAATGTTCTGAACAACCTGAAGCTGACGGGGTGATACAGACGCTCAAGCCTTTCCCTCCTGGTAGCACCTCCTGCGCCGCGCAACAACCAGACCAGCCAGACACGCGCGATTGCAAGAACAGTGCAGCCAGCTGCATCAGGCTTCTGGATCGGCCTGTTAGGCCAAAGAGCCAAAGGAATCCCATGCGCCATTCGGTGTAAGTTAGACTTTGATCCGATGACAGCGGCAACAGCGAACCTGACAAGGCCTGTGCTTTGGCTCATACGCCCGGAGTTTCGGCTGCTACTCGTGTCAAACGTATCGGATGCCTGCCTGCCTGCCAAGCAAGCACCAACATCCCTACGCAGATCAATGCCCAGACGAGCGACCCCCTTTTAGCCAGTAAACGTTATTTATTGTTTATGCTACTATTTTAGAGGAGCTGACCCAAAGATCAACCCCAGGCCCCCAACGGGTCCTCGTTGATAAATCTCGCTTCGTGTATAGTAGGAGACATAAAAACACATGTGCGTCAGGAAATTGAACCATGTCTTGATGGTGTTTGAACAGGGAAAAGCAGAGGAACAAAGGAAAAAGAAGGGGGGGGGGTAAAGGAAGAAAGAAAAGAGAGCAACTCGAAGTGTTTGCTCTCGTTGCTACCTTCGCTATAGATAATCTCCATGTTCGCTCCCTACATCCCGGGGTATCAGACAAGACTCCAACAAGCCAGCCACACCCCGAAAACCAAATCCGTCTCCCATCATCTGGAAACCGTCTACGCCCGTGATCACTCCTCCATCGCATCGCCGTTGTATGTTGGTCCGTTCTGCGTCGTACCGTCTTGCGTCGCCTCGGTCCGGCATCGCTCGCACATGCACCAGCCGCCGAGGCTACCGACGGCCCACTCGCGACGCTGCTGCACTGGCAGCGTGACGTCGCAATAGTGGTTCAAGATTTCCTCTCCGGCCTTGATGCCGGGCGGCTTGTCGCCGACGACGCGCTGCTCGCGTGCCCAGAGGACCATGTGGCCTCCCCACTCCCACGTCACGTTGGGATTGCAGTCGTGGTTGGCGAGACACCAGAAGGGGTGAACGGCAGCAACATCGGGGCGGCCATCGCGCGGATTCTTGCGGGCGGACGCGGTGCCTCGAAACTTGCTGTAAAGCGTGTTGAGAACCCAAATGTCGTGATGCGCCAGTGTTTGGTAAATATCAACGTCCATCTTCTCAAGGATGTGAAGCGGCGTCTCAATATTGTATTTGAATGAGAACGGTAGAGTCCAGTCCGGCGGCGGGTTGGCACTTGGGGATAGGTCGAGTTCGTTCGAGGCGGTCGGTACAAAGTCGCCCCAGATGTACTTGACCTGTTTGGCGTCGAGTGGGTGGATCTCTTGATGATTCGAAATGGCGAGAATGCGGGCCAACAGGAGCAGGTATAACGTCTCACCAGCCTCCTTTGCGTCACTGTCCTTAGCAATGGCATCTACATCTTTTTCGCACACTGCCGGATGGTACGTCTCCTGCGCTTGGTCGTGGCAGTACTGACTGCAAAAGACGGTGTCGTAGCATTCGTCACAGTTGACGGCTGGTACTTCACTGCCAAGGGGTGGCAACTCCGAGCCACAGGCGTCGCAGACGGGTTCCTTCAGACGGTTGTTGGCCGTCAGGAGCGAGTATTCCTTGAGCACCGCCTCGCCTGGCGCAACGTCTTCGATAGCGAAGAGACCCAGCTGGTTGCATGTTGGAATTATATCGTAGCCGTCCGTGTCACTGGCGCCCTCGAGGAGGATGGGTAACTCAGACACCTGCACGGCACACTTGGGCGCAAACTTCTCCAACTCCTTGTTAAGGAATTCCAGAGATTCGGGAGCAAAGCGATCTGGCTCGTGCGTATTCCAAGGGTAAATCTCGCGCCGCACGAGTCCGCCGTCGGGAAGATCGGCAACGCCAAACTCTTCCCTCTTCAACCGACGACGAGCAACGACCTCTATGTACCCTTTGGTCTCGAGCAGGTCTTCGTTTTTGGGTGCGATATCGAGACCGCGCTGGCAGAATTCGTACGCGCTCTTGAGACAGCCGCACAAGAGGAGATTGAGCGACAGAATCTGGAAACACCGCACCGAGGCCAGCCGTGCGACCTGGCTGTGGTGGTCCTCAGGGAATTCTTCATGCAGGCTATGGGAAAGTGCGGAAAGCAAGCCGTGGTCGAGCACAGGGGGAATAGGGTCCAGTTGGCAACCTTGCAGACTGGCCCGTGCTTGTTCGTGGTACTCGAAACCCTCGTTCAGAACCTCGTCCGACAACAACAAGGCCCGATAGGCGTCGCCAGCGGCGAGATCCGGGTATGCCAGCTCGGAGTGTACTTCGGCGCGTTCGATGTAGAGGAGCAGATCGTAGGGGGATTCGGCAAGTGCTTCGGTGAGCTGCTGGCGCTTGTGCAGCAAGAGTTCGGGCCTCGCCGAGTGCTCTGACTGGTTGTCGGACGACATGCTCATGTTGGAGGGGGTGGCAGGTGCGGTTGGAGGAAGGGAGACAGCTTGATTCGGTAGTGAGAGAGGCTCGCCGGAAAGGCCCATGTGTGACTGTGTGGCGGTTTGGCCGGAATCTGGGGATTGCCGCTTGGTGTGATGCGCCCGTTCGCCGATGCAAAGAAGAAGCGCGGGGGTGTCGGGCGACAATATATGCAGTGTCTTGGCTTCCTAGAACGAGGAGAGGGGGCGTCCAACAGACAGTTTGTGGTGGTGTGCGCAGTCGACGTCACGCCGGTGAAGCTAGACGAACGGGGTCCCTTGAAGGATCAGGGTCTTGTTGTTGCTAATGTGGCGCAAGAGTGTGGATATTGAAGAAAGGGTGGGTTCCAGACGGAGAGATTTATCATCTTCTCTCGAGTCAACCGTGATGTTGAGTTTTGTAGGGATGGATGGGGACGGGCGAGATGGAAGGAAGGGGAAGGGATCCAAGCTGGTTGGAACAAAGACGGACAGAGGTAAGAAGATTTCAATTGGGGGGTGGCAGTGAGACGGGGAGACGAAATAGGAACAGGAGGAGAAGAAACAACCTGAAGGGGTCACGAAGCTGGCTTCAAGTCAAGCCCGGATCAGGTCAGACCAGGTCGCGATGTTTGTGCCTGGTTGTGGAACTCGTGGACTCGTCTGGAGTCAGACAGCCAGAAAGATCTGGCTGGCTACAACCACCCAGAGCGAGAAGTGGGGTGGACCCTTGGTTGACAAGTGCACCGTCAATCACCCCTCACCACCCCTTCGCTCCTGCCTGCCTCCTTCCTGCTCCCTGCCCCCCCTAACGTAAAGCAAGCCCCCCCCCACCAACATCCAAATTTTCAGGGTCGCAGCAAAAAGCCGATTTTACTGAATCGGTTTTCTCGACGGATAACCCTGGAGCGGCCCCCTCTCCGACCCACTCCTCTGATATGAGTGGTGGGTGCCATGGCCGGCTGTGGAGCCTGCAAGCCTATGACATCATCAATCAACCACACCCCACCTTGTGCCAGAGGACCAAGCCAAGAGCACCCTGGCCTGGCCCTGTGTCGTCTGCCATGCCCCAGCGCGCCTGAACGACGCCCAGGGCACTTGGTCTGTTCAGGTAGCTCCAGGGCTGGAAGGAGCTAGGAGGAGCCAAGCAGCGAGTGAGTGGTAGGGGCCAGTAGGGGCCCGGTACCACCCACCCCCCGCCAGCTCCCTACTGTCTCCTCCTTGTTGCACTCGCACTTGCACTTGCACGTGCACTTGCACCTGCACCACAGGACTACAGGACCCTGCCTGCCTGTAAAAGCTGGTTGGCCTCTCGCTCCCGCCTACCAAGATGGATTGACCCGACGTATTTCCTTTTGCAGGTCCATTTTGCAAGTCTCTTTGACAGAATTGTCCAACCAGAAGGGCCAGAATGGGTTCATTGCGAGTCAGCCTTAATGTCTCACAGACGGTAGAGACCTGATCGTTGGGCCTACCCAACCTTATACGTGTAGACGTACGTAGTCGTGCTGAGGTGATAGATGACAGAGAGGGCGCACGTACATAGTACGCTCAACGAGCCGTCTGGGGTCCCACCGACGTCATCGTCACAAGCACCTCTTTCTGCCCGCTGAGCTCTACAAACTTCTTCGGGCATCGCACATGGAACTTGAGCCTCGGCGATCTCTGACTTGCCAATCCGCACAATGAATCGAGACCCCGAATGCCTACTTGCACTAACGTATCCAACGTCAAGGCCGCAATGGCGACGGCCCAAACCTCGAGCCTCCCACGTGGCAGCCACAGCTTTGAAGATGCTGGAAGCCCTGGGGCCAACAAAAAAAAAAGCACAGGGTCAGAAGGTGTCCCTGCGAAGCGTTACTGCCATGGCTTCCAGGACACCACGGCGCTCGCTGTTGGATGGGCGAGATGGCGAGGATCAGGCAGCTATGGATCCAGGTGCACCACGGCGGCCTCGGACATCGTTGCAAGCTTTCGGGACGCTCTTCAAACCGTCCATTGATCACAGTCGATCTCGGCTCGCCTGCACAGAATGCAAGGCCCAAAAGGCGAAGACGCGCAAAGTCTCAGGCCTACTTTGCAGCATATCAATGGGTCCTTGTCGTCCAGGGGGGCCGGGCGCGACAGGGGCGTGATAGCGAAGACTGCGGCGTGCCCATCTCCCGCTTCTGACGTTCCCATTGATCGTTGACTTGGCCCCTCATGTCGTGCTTCACTCGGCAGGTTCGGGGAGTGGGCTGATACAGCACAGTGGGCAGGCCGGTTGGATGACGGCAGGTAGACGGTAGGTCAGTCATTAAGCAATATTTCGCCGTAGGCTCCCTTGGGCATCTCATCCGACGGACAGGTTGATTTCGGTCCGTTGGCCCTTTAGCCTTTCCGTTGGTGAGATAAGCGAGGCGAGGTACCGTGGACGGAGCCTGTACCTGCTTCCACCCGGAACAGCAAGTGACGGACACAAAAGAGGCCCTCAGGCACAAGCATAAGAAGAGAGTGGGCGGGGGTGGGGAGACGTTGGCGGATGGAATCGGTGCGAATGGACCACCCATGATACGGCCTTAATTGGTGGAGGGGCAAAAAATGGGAGTGGAGTATGTAGAATAATTGATGAGTTGTTGTGCGGTCGACGATTAACTCGTGCTTGACGGCGAAGGTAACGGGAGCAGACGGCAGGGGAGGTCTGTGTCACAGCGGCTCACGCATTCGACGCGGGACCACCTGGAAAAGGTCGGGAAAGAAGAGA